CGATTTTCCAGTCAGGAACACCACATCCTTGAATCCGGGGGCCTCTCAAGATTTTGGATCAAAGGGTGGTTCTCACTATGCCTGTCATCTTTCCCTAATGAGCTGGATTGCCCGGGGTGTCTTGAAACATTTTTCTAACATCCATTAAGTTATTGATTAATTTTGGTGTTTCTTTATTAGGTTTTTTTGAGACAGGGGTTCTCTTTGTAGCCTGGGAGCCTGACCTGGAGCTTGCTCTGTTCATCAGGTGCCCTGGAACTCACAATGATCATCCAGCCTCCTTCTCCCTAGTGCTAAATGACAGGTGTTTGCCAATGCCACCCTGATTAGGATTCTTTCCTTATACTTCATCACACACACACACACACACACACACACACACACACACGCACACACCACACGCACACCCTTTTTCTTTCCTGATCCAGTACATCTTACTCCCTTTCCCTTACTTCGTGTAAGTCTCAAAAGAATTTTCCCCCAGTATTACCCACACCTCTGCTTTCGTTTCCACGTTTTGCTTGCTTCCACTCTGTGTCTTTGAATCCTGTACCTCTCCAGAAGTGGGATCCAGGTGTGGTTTTCACAATTCCACGTTTGTGTTATGAAGTGAAATATCTGAGTTGTTTGAATCTTTTTTTACACTCCTCCAGTAGTTTTCAACTTTATTAAACACAAATACACCCATGCAAACGAACATGTACGAGCACATATTTTATATTTAATACCTTTGAAGTTCAAATAGTTTTGTTCCCACTGTTTATGCAGCAATGTGTTTAAAAATCTATGTAACTATCGGTCTATGTCCGACACTACCTTTATGTATGTACAATCACCTGTCTACAGTCTCTTTGTAACGTTCTCTATCCCGTCGACGTACACCAGTGCATCTGTGTATCCCTTCAACTCTCTTTCTAAATATCTACGCAGACATGAGTAGGATGAAGATGCCCGTATCTGAACAGGAGGATTTCCCCAAACCCCGCGCTTCTTCTAAATCGGTGTTCAAACAAACAAAATAAGTACATTAAAAAAAAAAAAAAAAAAACCTACATAAACCCCTCGGTTGTCGTTTGGCCGCATTCACGGGGCAAATCCCAAAGGAGTCCGCGATGCCAGGGCTGAGGGAGAGAGAGGAAGGTCGCATCACTTCCGAGACCACCTATTCTTGTAATCCTTGAGGGCCTTGGCCATGAGCGGGGCGGCTTTCTTAGCACGGGTCTGGTCCCTGCCGCCCAGGGCGGGGCGCGGAGCCCTCTTCACAAGGTCAGTGCCAGGGCCTTGGCTGAGGCAGTTCAGGTTTTCGGGGGAGTCTTCCCGTCTGGGTGCGGAGTCTGCATGCTGGCCTGGGTCTGCGGTCAGGGCGTGGAAGGAGATCAGCTTGGTTTGGCGGTCTTGATGCTTCTTGGCTTGTGAGCTTTGGATGCGGGCTGTCAGGGCTTTCAGCCTCAGCTCGCTGGACTGCTGCAGCCTGAGGTGTGTCTGGGTCTCAGTCTGGGGGTTAGTTGGCTTGCAGGTGCGGGACTGGTCCTCTTGCTGTCTCCAGAGCCCGCATTCCTGCGGGGCCGGTTGGCTGTGAGTTTCCCACGTGCGGTCGGGGTTCGCAAAGCGTCCTTGGTGCGATTTCCTTGGGAGAGCTCTGGCTGGTGTGCGACCCGAATACACAGGCGTTTTCCAGGTCGCCCTGCGCGCCCAAGGTGCTGCTTCTCGGTCAGTGTGCAAGGAAGAGTCCTCAGGTCCTTCTCCTCCGGAGAAGCAGGCTTGGAGACCGGAGGTGAGCTCTGGGAAGGGATCGTCATCCAGGAGGAGATTCAGATCGCTGCAGCTGTGAGACTCGCCCCGAGGCACCTCTGCTCCGGGGCTCTGCGCCTCAGCTTTCCAGTTGCTTTTCCTCTTCCTCTTGCCCGGAGGCGGCGGCGCGGGCGCGGAGGAAGACGGAGAGCTGTCAGAGCTGTGGTAGTCGAGGCGAGCCTGCAAAGAAGCGGCCTGCTGGTCTTCCCGGATCCAGGGGCCAGGGGTCTTTTCCCTCGGGGGAGACGGACGCCGCTTCGCTGGCCCAGCCGCTGGCTTGCCGCAGAGGGCCTTCACCCCTTGCAGCCGCCAGGGCGCCCCAACACCTCCCTGTGGGGGCTTGCCTCCGCGTACCTGTACCTGGCTCTCCGCGGCTAGCTGCCTGCCCCCGAAGGACCCTCTGGGCCTCTTTCTTCCCGCTGGCTCGGAGCTTGGGCTGCGAGGTGCGCTTCGCTGCGGGCTGCTACCGCTGACCTCCAAGACCTCTCTGCCACCTCCTCCCTGTGGCCGGGAAGCAGGCTCAAGCGCCTCTGGGGAGTCTCTGCGAGGCTCTGTCGTCGCGCTGCTCTGGGAGGCAAAGTCCTGGGGTCTGGGTTCAGGCCGGGGCCCAAAGTGGGACCCCTCTGACCACTGGGCCGCTAAGTCCTTGGCAAAGGGTAGCAGGAGCTGCTGTTTCTTCAACACTTTGATGGTCTTCCTGAAGCCAATCTCCTCCAGGGTGTCGCCCAGCACGGGCAGGCGAGAGAGTTTCTTCAGGGTGCTGTAGAGCTTGCTGGGCTCTGTCTCGGTGCACAGGCGCTCCCGCAGCTTCTGCAGGGCTTCTAGGCGGCTGGGGGCCTCCTCCATCTGCACTGGCTACGACCCAAGGATCCAACCGGGCATCCAAAGAACAGCAGGCTTGACTGGGCTAGACCACCGTCTGGCTGGCGGCGGAGGCAGGGGCAGGGGCAGGGGCAGGGGCAGGGGCAGGGGGGTGGCGGCTGGTGGCGGTGTGAGGAAGGAAAGGGCAGAGGGCAGAGCTTCTGCGCTGGGGTGCGCTTCAGGAGGCTCTGTCTGCTTGCCTGGCCTCTGTTCTGCTCACCTTTGCTTTAAGCTGGTGGCCCTGCCACGCCCCCTCACCACAGCCCAATCAACCTCCCAGGCTGCTTCACCTGGGCGGGCCATCTCCAACTCCGGGGTCTGTCAGCCACGCCCATTCCACCACCAACCCTCCACCCCCCCCCCTTCCAAACGCACCGCACCGCCAGTTCTCACGCCCTTCTGGCACTGGAAAAGACCCCCATGGTTGCCAGACTTCCTCACAGGTGACCCTTTGCGACCTGGGGAGGCCGCCAGTGTTCCTCTGTCCAGTCTCGCGTTGGCGAGCTCACCAGAGGGCAAGTCCAGCCTAGAAGTACATACCATGTAGTTTACCTGCTCACCATGCATGAAGAAGAAAGAGCTGAAATCCCTGTTGCTTCCACTTTTTGTGCACCTAATACAGGACCACAAGGCTTCTTAAATGAGCTTCCTTAAGTCAAGAGCTTCACCTTGGTGGGCTTGCAGCTCAGAGCATCCCTGCTCCATCAGCTGGTAGGCAGCTCCTCCCTTCTCTTTATACAAGCCAGTAGTACCCAGGGGTTCCCTCACACAGACGCATATGCAAATAGCCTGCGGGGCCATGAACTTTCATTTGGGTTTGCTTCTTGACCTTGATTCTTCATTTCCAAGATTATCCTCGGATTAGATTCTCTCTGGTTTGAATCTAATTCTTTTCCCTCTGTGTCCCATTCTCCTGCTCTCTTTCTCTCTTTCTCTCTCTCTCTGCCTCTCTCTCATCTCTCTATCGCTCGCTCGCTTACTCGGACTCCCTCTCTTTAGGATCCTGTGGACAAACAACTCACAAACCAACACATAAAAACAGAGGTACAGAAACAATCACACACACACACACACACACACACAGAGAGAGAGAGAGAGAGAGAGAGAGAGAGAGAAACAGTGTGTGTGTGTGTGAGAGAGAGAGAGAGAAAGAGAGAGAGGAGGGAATTGAAGCGTCCATTCCTTCCCCAGTTGTTTTTCACTCCGATTTTCCAGTCAGGAACACCACATCCTTGAATCCGGGGGCCTCTCAAGATTTTGGATCAAAGGGTGGTTCTCACTATGCCTGTCATCTTTCCCTAATGAGCTGGATTGCCCGGGGTGTCTTGAAACATTTTTCTAACATCCATTAAGTTATTGATTAATTTTGGTGTTTCTTTATTAGGTTTTTTGAGACAGGGGTTCTCTTTGTAGCCTGGGAGCCTGACCTGGAGCTTGCTCTGTTCATCAGGTGCCCTGGAACTCACAATGATCATCCAGCCTCCTTCTCCCTAGTGCTAAATGACAGGTGTTTGCCAATGCCACCCTGATTAGGATTCTTTCCTTATACTTCATCACACACACACACACACACACACACACACACACACACACACACCACACACGCACACCCTTTTTCTTTCCTGATCCAGTACATCTTACTCCCTTTCCCTTACTTCGTGTAAGTCTCAAAAGAATTTTCCCCCAGTATTACCCACACCTCTGCTTTCGTTTCCACGTTTTGCTTGCTTCCACTCTGTGTCTTTGAATCCTGTACCTCTCCAGAAGTGGGATCCAGGTGTGGTTTTCACAATTCCACGTTTGTGTTATGAAGTGAAATATCTGAGTTGTTTGAATCTTTTTTTACACTCCTCCAGTAGTTTTCAACTTTATTAAACACAAATACACCCATGCAAACGAACATGTACGAGCACATATTTTATATTTAATACCTTTGAAGTTCAAATAGTTTTGTTCCCACTGTTTATGCAGCAATGTGTTTAAAAATCTATGTAACTATCGGTCTATGTCCGACACTACCTTTATGTATGTACAATCACCTGTCTACAGTCTCTTTGTAACGTTCTCTATCCCGTCGACGTACACCAGTGCATCTGTGTATCCCTTCAACTCTCTTTCTAAATATCTACGCAGACATGAGTAGGATGAAGATGCCCGTATCTGAACAGGAGGATTTCCCCAAACCCCGCGCTTCTTCTAAATCGGTGTTCAAACAAACAAAATAAGTACATTAAAAAAAAAAAAAAAAAAACTACATAAACCCCTCGGTTGTCGTTTGGCCGCATTCACGGGGCAAATCCCAAAGGAGTCCGCGATGCCAGGGCTGAGGGAGAGAGAGGAAGGTCGCATCACTTCCGAGACCACCTATTCTTGTAATCCTTGAGGGCCTTGGCCATGAGCGGGGCGGCTTTCTTAGCACGGGTCTGGTCCCTGCCGCCCAGGGCGGGGCGCGGAGCCCTCTTCACAAGGTCAGTGCCAGGGCCTTGGCTGAGGCAGTTCAGGTTTTCGGGGGAGTCTTCCCGTCTGGGTGCGGAGTCTGCATGCTGGCCTGGGTCTGCGGTCAGGGCGTGGAAGGAGATCAGCTTGGTTTGGCGGTCTTGATGCTTCTTGGCTTGTGAGCTTTGGATGCGGGCTGTCAGGGCTTTCAGCCTCAGCTCGCTGGACTGCTGCAGCCTGAGGTGTGTCTGGGTCTCAGTCTGGGGGTTAGTTGGCTTGCAGGTGCGGGACTGGTCCTCTTGCTGTCTCCAGAGCCCGCATTCCTGCGGGGGCCGGTTGGCTGTGAGTTTCCCACGTGCGGTCGGGGTTCGCAAAGCGTCCTTGGTGCGATTTCCTTGGGAGAGCTCTGGCTGGTGTGCGACCCGAATACACAGGCGTTTTCCAGGTCGCCCTGCGCGCCCAAGGTGCTGCTTCTCGGTCAGTGTGCAAGGAAGAGTCCTCAGGTCCTTCTCCTCCGGAGAAGCAGGCTTGGAGACCGGAGGTGAGCTCTGGGAAGGGATCGTCATCCAGGAGGAGATTCAGATCGCTGCAGCTGTGAGACTCGCCCCGAGGCACCTCTGCTCCGGGGCTCTGCGCCTCAGCTTTCCAGTTGCTTTTCCTCTTCCTCTTGCCCGGAGGCGGCGGCGCGGGCGCGGAGGAAGACGGAGAGCTGTCAGAGCTGTGGTAGTCGAGGCGAGCCTGCAAAGAAGCGGCCTGCTGGTCTTCCCGGATCCAGGGGCCAGGGGTCTTTTCCCTCGGGGGAGACGGACGCCGCTTCGCTGGCCCAGCCGCTGGCTTGCCGCAGAGGGCCTTCACCCCTTGCAGCCGCCAGGGCGCCCCAACACCTCCCTGTGGGGGCTTGCCTCCGCGTACCTGTACCTGGCTCTCCGCGGCTAGCTGCCTGCCCCCGAAGGACCCTCTGGGCCTCTTTCTTCCCGCTGGCTCGGAGCTTGGGCTGCGAGGTGCGCTTCGCTGCGGGCTGCTACCGCTGACCTCCAAGACCTCTCTGCCACCTCCTCCCTGTGGCCGGGAAGCAGGCTCAAGCGCCTCTGGGGAGTCTCTGCGAGGCTCTGTCGTCGCGCTGCTCTGGGAGGCAAAGTCCTGGGGTCTGGGTTCAGGCCGGGGCCCAAAGTGGGACCCCTCTGACCACTGGGCCGCTAAGTCCTTGGCAAAGGGTAGCAGGAGCTGCTGTTTCTTCAACACTTTGATGGTCTTCCTGAAGCCAATCTCCTCCAGGGTGTCGCCCAGCACGGGCAGGCGAGAGAGTTTCTTCAGGGTGCTGTAGAGCTTGCTGGGCTCTGTCTCGGTGCACAGGCGCTCCCGCAGCTTCTGCAGGGCTTCTAGGCGGCTGGGGGCCTCCTCCATCTGCACTGGCTACGACCCAAGGATCCAACCGGGCATCCAAAGAACAGCAGGCTTGACTGGGCTAGACCACCGTCTGGCTGGCGGCGGAGGCAGGGGCAGGGGCAGGGGCAGGGGCAGGGGCAGGGGCGAAGGGTGGCGGCTGGTGGCGGTGTGAGGAAGGAAAGGGCAGAGGGCAGAGCTTCTGCGCTGGGGTGCGCTTCAGGAGGCTCTGTCTGCTTGCCTGGCCTCTGTTCTGCTCACCTTTGCTTTAAGCTGGTGGCCCTGCCACGCCCCCTCACCACAGCCCAATCAACCTCCCAGGCTGCTTCACCTGGGCGGGCCATCTCCAACTCCGGGGTCTGTCAGCCACGCCCATTCCACCACCAACCCTCCACCCCCCCCTTCCAAACGCACCGCACCGCCAGTTCTCACGCCCTTCTGGCACTGGAAAAGACCCCCATGGTTGCCAGACTTCCTCACAGGTGACCCTTTGCGACCTGGGAGGCCGCCAGTGTTCCTCTGTCCAGTCTCGCGTTGGCGAGCTCACCAGAGGGCAAGTCCAGCCTAGAAGTACATACCATGTAGTTTACCTGCTCACCATGCATGAAGAAGAAAGAGCTGAAATCCCTGTTGCTTCCACTTTTTGTGCACCTAATACAGGACCACAAGGCTTCTTAAATGAGCTTCCTTAAGTCAAGAGCTTCACCTTGGTGGGCTTGCAGCTCAGAGCATCCCTGCTCCATCAGCTGGTAGGCAGCTCCTCCCTTCTCTTTATACAAGCCAGTAGTACCCAGGGGTTCCCTCACACAGACGCATATGCAAATAGCCTGCGGGGCCATGAACTTTCATTTGGGTTTGCTTCTTGACCTTGATTCTTCATTTCCAAGATTATCCTCGGATTAGATTCTCTCTGGTTTGAATCTAATTCTTTTCCCTCTGTGTCCCATTCTCCTGCTCTCTTTCTCTCTTTCTCTCTCTCTCTGCCTCTCTCTCATCTCTCTATCGCTCGCTCGCTTACTCGGACTCCCTCTCTTTAGGATCCTGTGGACAAACAACTCACAAACCAACACATAAAAACAGAGGTACAGAAACAATCACACACACACACACACACACACACACGAGAGAGAGAGAGAGAGAGAGAGAGAGAGAGAGAAACAGTGTGTGTGTGTGTGAGAGAGAGAGAGAGAAAGAGAGAGAGGAGGGAATTGAAGCGTCCATTCCTTCCCCAGTTGTTTTTCACTCCGATTTTCCAGTCAGGAACACCACATCCTTGAATCCGGGGGCCTCTCAAGATTTTGGATCAAAGGGTGGTTCTCACTATGCCTGTCATCTTTCCCTAATGAGCTGGATTGCCCGGGGTGTCTTGAAACATTTTTCTAACATCCATTAAGTTATTGATTAATTTTGGTGTTTCTTTATTAGGTTTTTTGAGACAGGGGTTCTCTTTGTAGCCTGGGAGCCTGACCTGGAGCTTGCTCTGTTCATCAGGTGCCCTGGAACTCACAATGATCATCCAGCCTCCTTCTCCCTAGTGCTAAATGACAGGTGTTTGCCAATGCCACCCTGATTAGGATTCTTTCCTTATACTTCATCACACACACACACACACACACACACACACACACACCGCACACACCACACGCACACCCTTTTTCTTTCCTGATCCAGTACATCTTACTCCCTTTCCCTTACTTCGTGTAAGTCTCAAAAGAATTTTCCCCCAGTATTACCCACACCTCTGCTTTCGTTTCCACGTTTTGCTTGCTTCCACTCTGTGTCTTTGAATCCTGTACCTCTCCAGAAGTGGGATCCAGGTGTGGTTTTCACAATTCCACGTTTGTGTTATGAAGTGAAATATCTGAGTTGTTTGAATCTTTTTTTACACTCCTCCAGTAGTTTTCAACTTTATTAAACACAAATACACCCATGCAAACGAACATGTACGAGCACATATTTTATATTTAATACCTTTGAAGTTCAAATAGTTTTGTTCCCACTGTTTATGCAGCAATGTGTTTAAAAATCTATGTAACTATCGGTCTATGTCCGACACTACCTTTATGTATGTACAATCACCTGTCTACAGTCTCTTTGTAACGTTCTCTATCCCGTCGACGTACACCAGTGCATCTGTGTATCCCTTCAACTCTCTTTCTAAATATCTACGCAGACATGAGTAGGATGAAGATGCCCGTATCTGAACAGGAGGATTTCCCCAAACCCCGCGCTTCTTCTAAATCGGTGTTCAAACAAACAAAATAAGTACATTAAAAAAAAAAAAAAAAAAACCTACATAAACCCCTCGGTTGTCGTTTGGCCGCATTCACGGGGCAAATCCCAAAGGAGTCCGCGATGCCAGGGCTGAGGGAGAGAGAGGAAGGTCGCATCACTTCCGAGACCACCTATTCTTGTAATCCTTGAGGGCCTTGGCCATGAGCGGGGCGGCTTTCTTAGCACGGGTCTGGTCCCTGCCGCCCAGGGCGGGGCGCGGAGCCCTCTTCACAAGGTCAGTGCCAGGGCCTTGGCTGAGGCAGTTCAGGTTTTCGGGGGAGTCTTCCCGTCTGGGTGCGGAGTCTGCATGCTGGCCTGGGTCTGCGGTCAGGGCGTGGAAGGAGATCAGCTTGGTTTGGCGGTCTTGATGCTTCTTGGCTTGTGAGCTTTGGATGCGGGCTGTCAGGGCTTTCAGCCTCAGCTCGCTGGACTGCTGCAGCCTGAGGTGTGTCTGGGTCTCAGTCTGGGGGTTAGTTGGCTTGCAGGTGCGGGACTGGTCCTCTTGCTGTCTCCAGAGCCCGCATTCCTGCGGGGCCGGTTGGCTGTGAGTTTCCCACGTGCGGTCGGGGTTCGCAAAGCGTCCTTGGTGCGATTTCCTTGGGAGAGCTCTGGCTGGTGTGCGACCCGAATACACAGGCGTTTTCCAGGTCGCCCTGCGCGCCCAAGGTGCTGCTTCTCGGTCAGTGTGCAAGGAAGAGTCCTCAGGTCCTTCTCCTCCGGAGAAGCAGGCTTGGAGACCGGAGGTGAGCTCTGGGAAGGGATCGTCATCCAGGAGGAGATTCAGATCGCTGCAGCTGTGAGACTCGCCCCGAGGCACCTCTGCTCCGGGGCTCTGCGCCTCAGCTTTCCAGTTGCTTTTCCTCTTCCTCTTGCCCGGAGGCGGCGGCGCGGGCGCGGAGGAAGACGGAGAGCTGTCAGAGCTGTGGTAGTCGAGGCGAGCCTGCAAAGAAGCGGCCTGCTGGTCTTCCCGGATCCAGGGGCCAGGGGTCTTTTCCCTCGGGGGAGACGGACGCCGCTTCGCTGGCCCAGCCGCTGGCTTGCCGCAGAGGGCCTTCACCCCTTGCAGCCGCCAGGGCGCCCCAACACCTCCCTGTGGGGGCTTGCCTCCGCGTACCTGTACCTGGCTCTCCGCGGCTAGCTGCCTGCCCCCGAAGGACCCTCTGGGCCTCTTTCTTCCCGCTGGCTCGGAGCTTGGGCTGCGAGGTGCGCTTCGCTGCGGGCTGCTACCGCTGACCTCCAAGACCTCTCTGCCACCTCCTCCCTGTGGCCGGGAAGCAGGCTCAAGCGCCTCTGGGGAGTCTCTGCGAGGCTCTGTCGTCGCGCTGCTCTGGGAGGCAAAGTCCTGGGGTCTGGGTTCAGGCCGGGGCCCAAAGTGGGACCCCTCTGACCACTGGGCCGCTAAGTCCTTGGCAAAGGGTAGCAGGAGCTGCTGTTTCTTCAACACTTTGATGGTCTTCCTGAAGCCAATCTCCTCCAGGGTGTCGCCCAGCACGGGCAGGCGAGAGAGTTTCTTCAGGGTGCTGTAGAGCTTGCTGGGCTCTGTCTCGGTGCACAGGCGCTCCCGCAGCTTCTGCAGGGCTTCTAGGCGGCTGGGGGCCTCCTCCATCTGCACTGGCTACGACCCAAGGATCCAACCGGGCATCCAAAGAACAGCAGGCTTGACTGGGCTAGACCACCGTCTGGCTGGCGGCGGAGGCAGGGGCAGCGGCAGGGGCAGGGGCAGGGGCAGGGGCGAAGGGTGGCGGCTGGTGGCGGTGTGAGGAAGGAAAGGGCAGAGGGCAGAGCTTCTGCGCTGGGGTGCGCTTCAGGAGGCTCTGTCTGCTTGCCTGGCCTCTGTTCTGCTCACCTTTGCTTTAAGCTGGTGGCCCTGCCACGCCCCCTCACCACAGCCCAATCAACCTCCCAGGCTGCTTCACCTGGGCGGGCCATCTCCAACTCCGGGGTCTGTCAGCCACGCCCATTCCACCACCAACCCTCCACCCCCCCCCTTCCAAACGCACCGCACCGCCAGTTCTCACGCCCTTCTGGCACTGGAAAAGACCCCCATGGTTGCCAGACTTCCTCACAGGTGACCCTTTGCGACCTGGGAGGCCGCCAGTGTTCCTCTGTCCAGTCTCGCGTTGGCGAGCTCACCAGAGGGCAAGTCCAGCCTAGAAGTACATACCATGTAGTTTACCTGCTCACCATGCATGAAGAAGAAAGAGCTGAAATCCCTGTTGCTTCCACTTTTTGTGCACCTAATACAGGACCACAAGGCTTCTTAAATGAGCTTCCTTAAGTCAAGAGCTTCACCTTGGTGGGCTTGCAGCTCAGAGCATCCCTGCTCCATCAGCTGGTAGGCAGCTCCTCCCTTCTCTTTATACAAGCCAGTAGTACCCAGGGGTTCCCTCACACAGACGCATATGCAAATAGCCTGCGGGGCCATGAACTTTCATTTGGGTTTGCTTCTTGACCTTGATTCTTCATTTCCAAGATTATCCTCGGATTAGATTCTCTCTGGTTTGAATCTAATTCTTTTCCCTCTGTGTCCCATTCTCCTGCTCTCTTTCTCTCTTTCTCTCTCTCTCTGCCTCTCTCTCATCTCTCTATCGCTCGCTCGCTTACTCGGACTCCCTCTCTTTAGGATCCTGTGGACAAACAACTCACAAACCAACACATAAAAACAGAGGTACAGAAACAATCACACACACACACACACACACACACACACAGAGAGAGAGAGAGAGAGAGAGAGAGAGAGAGAGAGA